CGACCCCCCCCCCCACCCCTGTCACCTCCCCGGTGCCCCGACCAAACGTTAATTAAGGCCGTTCGGCGAGGCGGGGCTTCTGCTGTCTCCGACGTGGAAGGGAGGCGTCCGGTCCGGCTTCGATTCAGGCGCGAACGTGGGCGAGGGCGTCCGGGAGCCCATGCCGGACCTGCCGCCGCCGGGAATACCGTTAGGGCAGGAGCAACCGTCGCCCCAGCAGCCATCGCAGCAGCAGCAGCAGCCGGTGGTGCCGGCGGTGCCGGCCGTGGTGCCGCCGCCATCCCTGCCTCCCGTTTTGCCGCGTACTTCTGTCGGGAGCGACACCGATGTTGGCGGCGGCGGCGGTAGGGGGGGAAGCGCACGGGTTTTGCTGCGGAGAGCGGAGGAGAGCGGTGGCGGCGGCGGCGGCGGTGGCAGCGGCGGCGGCGGCGGCGGAGCTGGGGTAGCAATCTTAATTCCGAGCGGCGATAACGGTGACGAAGAGGAAGGCAAGAAGACAAAGGATGCTAAGACGGAAGGTGCCGCTGCTTCTGCTGCTTCTGCTGGTGCTGCTCCTCCGCCTTCCGCTGCCGTTGCCGGCGGCGGTACGGGAGTCGACGGTGCTGCAGACACCGAGGCGGCCAGCAGCGGTGGACAAGACTCGTTTGACGCCTTTGCCCAGCAGCAGACGGCAACGGCGCCGGCCCGGAAACGCGAGCAGCAGGTCGACGACGGTGTTGCGCCCACGGCGAGCTCATCGTCATCCACCAGCATGGCGGTGGCGACGGCCATGGTTGCCAAAGCAGCCACGGTGGCACGGAACCAACGGTCACCGTCGCCGCCGCCGCCGCCGCCGCCGCCGCCGTCGTCGTCGGGGGTAGTAGGCTCCCGTTCAGAAGGCCAGGTCTTGCAGCAGCAGCAGACCTCGATAACCGCGGACACCGCTGCCGCCGCCGCCGCCGCCTCCACCACCAGCCTCCAACAACCAGGAGGGCTACGTGCTGACGCCACCGGCGCGACGATCGCGGGCGGGTTTGAAGCCGGCACCGGCGCCGACTTGTGGTGGGACGACGAGGGTTGGCACGGTTTCGGGAGCGGGGTCTCCGCCGGCCACATCAGCGGCTACGACCTCGAGAACGGGGGCGACGACAATACCTTCGGGTGGCGGGTCGGGGGCGGCGACGGCGGCGCCGCGGGGAAGGCCGCGCAGAGCTACATCCAGTGGGGCGCGGAGGGGGGCGTGTGGTTCGGCGACGGCGGCGGCCGCGAGGGCGGCAATGAGGAGGAGGAGGGAGGCGGAGGAGGGCAAGGGCAGTGGGGGGGGCGGCAGCGGGGGGTGGGGGGGTTTAGGGCTCCCGCTAGGTGGTCCGGGGTGTCCGAGGCAGGGGCTGGCATTATGCTGCCCGCGGATGCCCTGGGGACCGGCCTTGAGGAGCACCTGCCGTTCATGGTGACGCACACGATGGTTAAGGTCTTGCGGGACCCGCTATTGAGCGCGCATTACCAGGTGGGGGGGGGGGGGGGGT